CACACACACACACACACACACACACACACACACACACACACACACACCGCCACCAGCCCTCCTCCTTAACTCTCTTGTAAGTGAGAGTGTCTGTCTGAAAAACAATCCGAGGAAGGGGGCGTCCGCTGGAGTCGATCTCCTGTGGTATTTTGTTTTGAGCAGGTGGTGCAAGTTGAAGTTCCCTCATAAGGTAAAGTGGCATTAGAGGGTCCAAATGGCAGACTTATATATAGGCTGCCAATTCAGCACATTGTTCAGGACTGCATGGCTGCGCTTTCTCCGCTGTCTGACGGAAGACCTGCGGCTTTTTTTTTCTCCTCCCCCTCTTCCTCTGTGGGAATCAGCCTTGACAACAGGCGGACAAGCGTGAACACAGCGGCTGAACAATGTGAAATGTCCATCGGATCTCGAGCAAGTTGGAAATAATCGTCACCCGCCTTATAAAATATATATAAAAAACAATTTGATTTAGTCTGTATAATATTTTTACAGATTTAAAATACAAAACAAATGTTTTAATTCCGTCCTTCTTTTTTCACAGCTATTTTTAAAAATTTAGTTCTATTTTAATTACATCACACCATCATTTGATGTGGACAGTCACATTTTCTAATTACATCTTCCCCTGTTCACTTCATCGGCATGCTCCTTGTTTTAGCTGTGATTCAAGAATCATCACATGACATTTATTTCCAACTGAATCCTGAAATGTTTGAAAATTTCAGGTTTCACTTCTTTTTATTTGTCTCACTGTGAAGCGTTGAAAAATGGGCTTACTTAGAAATCCAGCATTAATTTGATGTGCCACATATACGTCTTCTTCTTCTTCTTTTTTTAGGATGCTGGGAGGCCTTTTTCCTGTGGTGTGATTCAGAGAGAGTCTTTAGTGGCAGACAGAGGGCACAGTCGGAGGGGCAAAAGATTAAGAGATCTTACAGCTGTTAGAAAAAAGGGGGACAGAATAGAGTCAGAATTTCGGCACCAATCAGACACTTGCTGCAGAAGAGACCCAATTTTGATTTTTAGAATTTACTATAAGTTATATAAGTATATATATAATATATAAGTTAACTCTCTTTGGCATTACTGTTGTTTTAGTTGCATATTGAGCTTAACATCTATCTAACATCTTACCGCACTGTAGCAGATCCGAACGTTTCCATATGTTGTTTTTTTGGAGGATGTCAGTCACCTTCATCGGAGACCCATCTCTTCACAATTTTAAGCCTGTGGCCAATCTGGAGAGTCCTAATTATTTGTTTTCAGGCTCTTTGAAAAAGACACCAGCCCCCAAATTGGACATGTGTTGTACAAACACAAATTAAACATTTAGCCGTAAGTATTTCTCCCTGAGTCCTAAGTGCATATTAGTCAGCCTATACTTATCTCTGGCCCAACGGCACACCCAAATTGCAGTGTTGCTGCTGAAAAAGAAAGGTTGGGGCCCCAGAGAATGAGCACTTGAAACATGCTGGCAGATGCCCATAAGTTTCCCAACCAAAGTGGAAGCTTAGGTGTGTTTGTGCGCACAGTGCATGTATGTGTATGCTTCTTTAGTGCACTTTCACATCTTTTGTGCTTTTTGCGCTTGTCCAGAAAGAAATCAGACAAATGTGTGACTAATTGTTCTCACGCGTATTTTCACTGATTACATTGTGTTTTTGCACATGAGCGTGCACCACGGCAGTGTGTGTGTTCTTGTAGCACAGTTAGGTGTGTATCCTATAAAAGGATTTTCAGTGTGTTGTATGGTGCGTCCTTGTCATGAATTTCTATATTTATAACAAGACTTTCTGCCCGCACGCATGTATGTGCCTTCATTGCGAGTGTGTGAATGTGGGCCTGACTGGATGGACATCCTGCTCTATGGATTCGTCCCCATGTTTCCACCATGATATAACCCTGGAAACAGCTTCTTAATTTTTCCCCTGAGCAGAGAATAACGGGGTGCCATTTTCATTCTTCTCTCTCCTCTCTTTCGGTGGTCTCGAGGTAACCTTTTCTTTCTGCCGGTGAATCTCCAGCACCTGCTCCCAGCCTTCCAATTTTAAAAGCTCAAAATAAGAGCTTACCTGACACATACACTTCTTAATGACAATCTCCTCCATGCAATGCAAGCACACAAGACACACACTCTCTCGTCCATGTCACATTTTTGCATACAGTATGTAGTCTTTGCTCGGCATCTTCTCAGATTCACTGCGTCTCTTATTTTGGGGTTTCTTGATGCACAGAGGAGCTCAAACTTTCTCCATCTTCATCAGCTGTTTTCTGCCTGTTCTTTCTTTATGCATCATGTGGCCAACCTTTGATGTCTGCAACATTAACATTAGCTCTTATATACATGCAAAAGGATAGAGTAAGATTTCTAAATATGTGGTTTACACGAGCGCTTTGACAAATGGTTGTTGTACTGTTAACACGGACACAGACTAGGCCTTCTGCCTGAAGAGGAAAACTTCTAAAAGGTGGCTTCAATCCACCTTAAACCTCTTACTGTTTTTTTTTTTTAAACAAAAGCTCTTTTTAATCATATGATATGAATTCGTAAAACAAAAAACATTTGTAATTTTTTTGGTTCATTTTGAGATTTGAATGACTTGGCAGTGGACATGGCAGCATCGTTCTTGCTGCTCTCTTGCTTTTTCTCGTGTGGAAAAACTTACCATCACCGCTGACACGAAACAGAGAGCTGCCTTTTCTCCACGCTGCAAAAAGTCATTTTTGGAAATGTAAGAACTAAATTATTGAGGCAACATAAATCACCAAGCAAATCCAGCCTATGGTATATACACATAAGAAGCAGTGCAGGGTGGTATGTTACGTTAATGCTGAGACACTTTGTGCCCAGTTAAGGTATGTTTATGCATCCTTAAACGAAGCAGCTGTCATTCTGATTCCCCTGTGGAGACATATGTGTGAAAGAAAAAGTGGGATTTTATTTACTTTGCATTGTAAATAAATTAAATTGTGGCATCTGAAACAACCAGCTAACATTTTTACATTTACGTGATGACTACGATGTTAGGTAGTGAAAAGTGACTTGATGATGTTTTCATTAGGACAAAAAAGGGAAGAAAATCACATGAACTTAAATTTGTTTCTCAGAATTATGTTATTTATTTTGTGAAAAAAAAAAATCAACACAATTACATTACAAATCAGTAAATGCAAAAACCCAAAGAAGCAGAAAAAAACAAAAAACAATTAAAAAAACAGGAAGATATAGCATTTGATTTCTTTTATATACTGTAATGTTGCAGCAGAAGAGATTCGTCTCAGTAGTTTTTCAGTGTTGCTTATGTAAAACCCATCACTGTAACTTTATTGTTTCTTAAAACAGGCTGACTCATTGTGAAAAAGACATGGCTGTTTTTTTCCCTGAAGTTCACCAACCCCCTAAACTTCAGCACACGCCAGAAGTAAATGTCAAAAACAAAGAGTACATCGGGATAAGTTAGATGATTGTGGTTAGCCTTTATTTTTGGTCAGGCCTATCTGATCGCTGGCTTTTTGAATTTCTAATAAGGCTAGAGGGCTACCAGGTGACTGACACAAGTGCTCTAGTGGCTCCTTATCTGTCAGTCAGCAGTCGTGGCCTTGGACTGTAGCAGCAGAGGCAGCAGATGCTTTGGCAATTACACTCCTGATGATTTTACAGAAGAAGGAAATCACACAGAGAAGCACGTTTTTCAATTCCAGGAGGTTTTTAAGTCCTTCCTGGTCCATCGGCTTTGCTTTTGCATTCCCACTTTCTCTTTCAGCCTTTCAGTCTTCCTCTTTCTCTCCTTTCCTTTCCTTTTGGGTTACATTGAACACTCCAAACTAAAGGTATATGAAGTGGCTGGCAGTAAAGATGATCAGCCATGACCCAGAGATTGGAACTTTTGTGTTAAAAATGTAAAGAAAAAGAACTTACTTTCTTCTTTCTGTAAACCAAAAACACTGTCATACAAAAAAACCCCCTCTGGCACTCTACTTTGTCATGACATGAGTCGTATGATTGGTGGGAAACAGAGTCTTTGCTATTGTCTACACTAGGGCCATGGTAATTGTGTTGGTGTTTGTTATACTTGTTGTGATGGTGATATAAAAGTTCTGCAGATTGAAGTTGTGCAGTGCACAACTGATACTCTTATGTT